CCCTGACATTAATGTGATAATGAATTTACATGTTTATTACATATTTTTTAAAATAAAAATTAGTAATTGATTTAGGATTTTAACACTTACACCTCTATTAAACTCCTAATTAATTTTCAATTCAAACATTTACAAAATTTTCATTTCAAACATTTACAAAATAAAATAAAATTAAATTAGAATAAGTTTGTACCCATTAGTTTTTTATAAAAATATCTTAATTTTTTTAATCTTAAACCCATTCATATAATTTTCAATTTTTTTTAATCTTAAATGTACCCATTCTTAAATATACCAATTTGTTTTATGTAAAATGTACCCTTTTTTAATATAAAATGTACAATTTTTTTTTATATAAAATCCATTCAAAAATTTTTAATCCATTTTTTAACTTATATGGCTACACCTTTTTTTTTTTTTTTTTTGATTTAGATGTATCTACTATCTATGCCAAGTTTAATCGAATAAATTTACTAATGTTATTAAGCCTAATATCTTCTTCTTCTTTTTATTTTTTTTTATTTTTTTTATTTTTGTGTTTTGAAGAATGTATCCATGTCTTAGTACAATAATTTTTTTTTTCTTTGTTATTTTTGATGAATGTACCCATATGTGTGTGTCTGTGTACACACACACACATACAATATAATAGAGAGTATAATTTATATTTTATTATTTTTAATCCCACAAATTATGGGTTATATTTAAAGTCTCATTAATATAAACAGATACAAATTTTAATTTTTAATTTTTAATTTAAAAAATATAATAACTTACACTATTACATTAATGTCAAAGACTACATCCGAAATCTCCATTTTTACAATTATGAGAGACGTGGTTGGTGAAGCCCATTCTGGTGGGGGGACCGTTTAAATTCTCTATTTAAAGATGTACATTACGCAAACCATCCACAGAGCAAGTTTTAGAGAGATCAGTCACTTAATTTGTCACTAAATTTCTCTACACTATTCTTGCTAGTTTTCACATAAACCCATTAACTGTTTTTCTTCCATGGCATTGATCCTTCCAAGTATTCCAAGCATTACTACTTTTAGCACCCTCCAAGTCAAATTGGCAGCAAGCCAAGTGAAGGGTGAACATGTTCCAACTGATATACCAAGACACCAACTCACCGCTCTCATCAGATCCATCATCAACAAACATGACGAACCACAACCCTTTTACGTTCTCGATTTGGGAGTTCTTGTCAGCCTTATGCAAAAATGGAACCGTTGCCTTCCCAACGTTCTGCCCTTCTTTGCTGTCAAGTGTAACCCTGAGCCTGCATTCATTGCAGCATTGGCAACGCTTGGTGCGAGCTTTGACTGCGCTAGCAAGCTGGAGATCGAGGCCATCCTTTCTCATGGTGTAAGCCCCTCAAGGATAGTCTACGCCAATCCATGCAAGGGTGAGAACCATTTAAGGCACGCAGCAGGAGTCGGGGTCAATCTTGCAACCTTTGACTCCATAGACGAACTTAACAAGATAAAAAAATGCCATCCCAAATGTTCCTTGTTGCTCCGAATTGCAGTCCTAAATGACGCGAGCTCCTGGCGTTCATTTGGGACCAAATTCGGTGCGATGTCTGAGGAGGTCGCGCCTCTACTTGGACATGCACACAAGCTAGGGTTGAGAGTGGTGGGAGTTTCATTTCACGTGGGTTCGAAAGCTGCGGAATCTCAAGTGTACCGTGGAGCAATAGCAGCTGCTAGGGCTGCATTCGACGTGGCAGATGAGCTCAAACTGCCCAAAATGCATGTGCTTGATATTGGTGGTGGGTTCAAGGCAAACCCGTTATTTGATGAAATAGCCGAAACCGTAAACGACGCCATTAAAGAACACTTTGGTGATCATCAATCGGAGTCTGATCTGGTGGTGATGGCTGAGCCAGGAAGGTTCTTTGCCGAAACAGCTTTCACATTGGTTGCAAATGTGATGGGGAAGAGAGTGAGAGGAGAGAAAAGAGAGTATTGGATTACCGATGGGATATATGGGTCGTTTAATCTTCCGGCATTTGATAAATCTTGTTTGACAGTTTCACCCCTCCTCCTTCACACTCCTGATCATCATCATCATCCAGTAGCCATATATTCGTCGACGGTGTTCGGACCAACCTGTGATTCTCTGGACACGGTGGTGGCTGACTGCAAACTGCCGGAACTGAAGTTAAATGATTATCTCGTGTTTCAAAACATGGGGGCTTACACAAGTTCTGCTGGAACCAACTTTAATGGCCTCTGCATTTCTGCTATTCCTACGTACTTGGCATTTACAATTGCTGATAATTAATAGGGACTGAAAAACGAAAACAAAAAAAAACGAATGTATGTGATCGATCTTTCCCTTCTTGTCTATTGTTATATATATGGCATTTACAATTGCTGATAATTAATAGGGAATGAAAAACGAAAACAAAAAATAAAAAACGAATGTATGTGATCGATCTTTCCCTTCTTGTCTATTGTTATATATATGGCATTTACAATTGCTGATCATTAGTAGGGAATGAAAAACGAAAACAAAAAAAGAAAACGAATGTATGTGATCGATCTTTCCCTTCTTGTCTATTGTTATATATATATATATATATGTATATATATATATATATACTTTGAGAGTGGTTTTCATGACCGAATCTTCTTTAAATTTCATTAATTTGCATATATAAATTGTTGATATTCCCGTTCCTTTGAATATTGGTCTTCGTTGGAACAGTGGGATACGATGGTTCAGCAACATGTACAAACGGGAAAGAAATATTAAAGGAGCCATAGTATTTGGACATATACAAAACTGAGACAACGTCTAATTTAGGGGATTCACATACAATAGTATAGCTATTTCTAATGTGAGAAGTTCTTGTCTACTCAAAACACAAGGTGATATACTATATGTTATTGTCGAAGTGGATTATAGAGTCGATCGCCCTTATATTAAGATATGTAGTATACCACCTTGTGTTTTTGGTACATAAAAAAATCTTTGCTCTAAAAGGAAGTGTATAAGTGCATCAGTTGAAATATTGCAGGAGATAAGAAGAAGGCTGATACTACTAGATCAGGGAAATATAAGCAAAAGTACAAACTACTACTACAGGGTGAGCCAAAAACTGCGAAAGGTTGAAAATAGGCAAATCAAAATATTTTTTAACCTGAAAGGGGTTAATTTAATGGAAAACGAGCAAAGACTTGGAACTATATTCGAGAAAAAAAAAACTAATTTGATTTAAAAAATTGTAATATTTGATTAACCAGTTACCAAAACCAAGCATAATTAATTTGTTTTTCATTTTACATATGTGAAAACCGCCTAAATCAAACCATTTTACTAGTACGCTTCACAGTAAGGGGGGTTCAAGATGGTGCAACATCGAATCATGTCACCTTGCTTCGAATGGAATTGTAGCCCAAATTAATGTCGTACTGATATCCTTTGTTTTCGTTTTTATAAAATATTGTTCAAAAACACAAGACCAAACGCATTTTAGACGTATTAATTTTGTATTTGTAAAACAAAAAAGTATATTCGAAAACGTAAACCATCAATTTGGAAAATGCTGAAATCAAGTTTGGTACCAAAAGATTTCAAACTTGAATTGTTTGCAAATAGCAGCTTTCATCCCCATGAACCTAAAGCATTACAATAAAACACAACTTATTAACTATTTGACATTGGCTTATAGAAAGTTAATAACTTTTCGCAACATTACAAACGAAAAATTTTAGTACCTTTCAGATATGGAATCACGGATTTCTTCCCTCTTTCTTCTTCATATGCATCAAAGACCATTGCAAACTCTAATTATTCTCTTGTCCTACTTTCTACAATCTAAGCTCAAGTAAATCCCAGTGCTGAAAAAGCATGCCAAAATAACATAAAAAAATAGTTAGTAAAAAAGCTTCCACTGCAATGTATTGCCAATTAAATTTTACCAATTGGGTAAATATGTATAGGGTTCTAAGTTCTAACTTCCAAGAAAGTGTGAGGTTTAAAATGGGCTTTACGGAAGTTACATAGTTTGAGAGAAACTGTTTTGTATGGAACATTTAGATTCATAATTTACTTCAGTTTTAAATTTTTTTGTTTCAAGGGCCTTGTGTTTAGTTTTTTTTTTTTTTGGTGAAGCCTTGAGACACTAAAACTCACTTCTGGCATTCTATTAGTAGAGATCTCTTTAAAAATATATTTTAATTATCAATAATATTAAGATCAACGAATAAACTAATATCAAACCCGTTAATCACACTTCCTATTCTCATGGGCGTTTCTCAGGAGCCCCTTAGAAAACGCGTCGTCCTCATAGCCCATAGGATAGCAAAATCGCTAATCGCCTAATATAAGTGCATAAGGGTACCGTGTGCCCGTGCAATATAAATGCGGAAACTAAAAGAAGAAATCATTTAACAAGAGAGATCTAATTTTAAAAAAAAATAGGGATATCCTTTTAACAGTTGGATTTGACTTTAATGAAATTATATGGTTAAGATTGTGTGGCCTGTGATTTAATCTCAACTACACAATTTCATTAAAACCAATCCAACAATTAAGAGTATGTCCTTTAAAAAAAAAAAGGTATTCCCTCTTGTTAAAGGGTCTGACATCATGTTTGGATGAAGAAATTTAAGATCAGTAAATAATTTTAAAATGACAGAAATTCAAATGAAGAGATTTTATTTTCTAGAATTTGTAAATTTTCTTGTTTGGTTAACCTAAAATATCAATGGAATTGAATACATAATTTGTTATTTTTAAATTTTCAATCATAGAAATTAGGAAATGACACATATTTACATGAAATTTAAACTTAAGAATTGAGGTCTCAAATACTAAGTTTTTTTTCCACGCAGAAATTCTAAATTTCTATATTTACGAGTCCAAACAAAGAAATTGATACATGTCAATTTAAATATTCTGAATTTTATCCAAATTTCAAATTTATATCCCTCTTCCATTCCAAAACATGGTGTAAAAGAATATTGGATGCATAAATTTATATCCCTCTTCCATTCCAAAACATGGTGTAAAAGAATATTGGATGCATATAGAAGTAGTAGCACCCCCGTTCTCGCGGCATATCGTGCAAATAATTAAGGATTCGACCCCATCTATCTCACGCACGCATGGCTCTCCCGGTTCCCTTCCTTAATCTCCGGTTTCAAAAGGCAGAAAGCAAGGAGAGGTGCCGTGAGGCGTTGGATGAGACGGACATTTCCTCAACTTTCGCGTTGAATGCCAACGGCTTTCTAACGCCCTCCAATTTTGGTAACCGCCTCTCGTCTTGACATTGTCTGCTCTCAAAACCTCCACCCCACTTGCTCCACTCATTCAATCAATCTCCAAGGACAAAGCAAACTGCCTCTTTTTTTCGATTTCGATTTCGATTTCTGATCATGGTTATTATTCTTTTATTTTTGCTTTTATTCTCATTTTTCCATTTATATATTGCTGTTTAATTTCTGATTTTTGCTATTAAATATTACTATGTTTCCAATGTTTATGTAATTCTGTGTTTCTTGAATTTGTTGCAGACCTGCATTTTCTTCTTTCCCAACATCGGATTGGCAGGAAGAAAGTGAGGTGATGTTGAATTTGATTTTTTGTGATTGTTTTCATATAAAATTTGAATTTTCTAAGGAAATTTCAGTCGGAGGTAATGCTAATTTTTGGGTGTAATTTCATAATGTTTTTCGTATATTGATTTTCGGTGCTTTTTTCTTTCTTTCTTTTCCAATTGAAAAAAAATATGGGAGATGAGATGGGAGAGAAGTGAGATTGATAGACATATTGCATGACTATGCATACTCCGATATGTATGTGCAGCATATTAGGAACGTAATCTGTAAACATGTGTTACACCTTGTGTATCATATGTAAACATGTCGTATACTCAGATACGTATATATTTCATTGTAATTTTAGGTTTCTTGTGTATCAAGTAGCATAGGGACGCCTTGTGTAAACATTGTGTAATTGCCCAATGAAAAATTGGCAAAGTGGCTTAGTGATTTTAAAACATTCTATAAACTCAAGTGCCAAACTGCCTAACTAGAGTTTTGGTTGCATATGAGCTCAATTGTCGTTGGATATGGAGCGATTGCTAAAGATTTAGTATTATTGTCCACTGAATTGTTTTGTCTTCTTGTGAACCAGGCTCTAATTGATTCTTAAGTTTGAGGCATTCTCCGTGGAAATAATAGATTAACGACATAGTAAACATATTGGAGAATTGGGTTTGGTGATCACAGCAGTGGGCTTGCGGTTTATTCGGATTTAGCCATCACAAACTGAGGGTATTATATGTTGCCTCTGGAAAACGAGTGAGTGAGTAGGCTTGAGTTCAAAAGATAAGCAGAATGGACTTCAGTGATGGGTTTGTATCAAAGGAGCATCGGGAGCTTCACAGATCTGCTTCAGAAAGTGCAGATCCATTGTCTGCATCCCCATTGCCAGTTTCTGCAAGGTCCCCAAAGTCCCCCAAATCTTCAAAGTCCCCAAAGTCTCCAAAGTCTCCAAAGATTCAGGGGAAACATGGAAAAGGAAGTCCACTTAAGCATGATAGACATTCACATTCTGCAGTTGATGGACGTCCTAAAAAGGGTAAACTACACTTTTGAATTTTTCTCATGGATTCTTCTGCTTGAAGGCTTTCTTTCACATCAGATAATTGCTAGCAAGAGGCACTAGGGAACAATGTTTTAGACAATGTCGTATAGCTATATATTGTTACCCGATACACTTGAAAAGTTAATTTCTCTCTTTAAATTCAAAGGCATGTTTGTATACTTGAAATGGTATTAGTAGATTATGTTCAGATGGAAAAAATAAAACTCTTAAGCATTTACCATTATCTGATGATTAATAAAAAAGAATAATTTTTCAAACTAAAATATTCTGGATTAGTACATCAATAGTGGGTTTTTACTCTTAATTTTATGAAGACATTCATTATGCAGGTGGTTCTGGGGGTAAAGGCACCTGGGGAGGGTTACTTGATACAGATGACAATTACACTGCTGACCCGAATGACCCAAACTTCAATAGTAGTGAGGTAACTGAACAACTAACACATTCATATTTAACTCTTTCTGGATCTTGATGTGAAAATATTACCAATAGATCAAATGCTCAGTTTATTTGCTATCTTCAATTTTAGTTCACTTATTTTTATTGTGTTAACTTGTATTGGTTGCAGGAATGTGAAAATTCCGATGCTAGAAAAGAGAGGATCGATTTTGAGGAGTACAAAAAGAAAGCTACAATAATAGTGGAGGAATACTTTGCTACTGACGATATTACCTCGACTGCAAATGAACTTGGAGAGCTTGATAGGCCTACCTACAGCTACTATTTTGTAAAGAAGCTTGTCTCTAAGGCGATGGATAGGCATGACAAAGAAAAAGAAATGGCTGCTGTTCTTTTATCTGCACTATATGCTGACTACATTGACCCTCCACAAGTTTACAAGGGATTCTGCAAATTGGTTGAATCTGCGGATGACTTCATTGTGGATATACCTGATACGGTTGATGTTCTTGCTCTGTTCATTGCCCGAGCTGTGGTTGATGACATACTTCCTCCTGCATTCTTGAAGAAACAAATGAACTATTTATCCAAAGATTCGAAAGGGATTGAAGTATTGAAAAGAGCTGAAAAGGGCTACTTAGCAGCCCCGCTCCATGCAGAAATCATTGAGCGGCGATGGGGAGGTAGCAAGAAAATGACTGTGGAGGATGTCAAAGCTAAGATTAATGATTTGTTGAGAGAGTATGTAGTGAGTGGTGACAAGACAGAGGCTTGTAGATGCATCAAGGATTTGAAAGTTCCATTTTTTCACCATGAAATAGTTAAACGAGCTCTTGTAATGGCAATGGAGAGACGTCAAGCTGAAGGCCAGCTACTAAATTTGCTGAAAGAAGCTGCTGAAGAAGGTTTAATAAACTCCAGTCAAGTATCAAAAGGCTTCGGTAGGATGATTGACTATGTTGACGACTTGTCACTCGACATACCAAATGCACGGGGTATATTGCGGTCATTGATCTCCAAGGCAGCATCAGAGGGCTGGTTGTGTGCTTCATCTTTGAAATCACTCTCTCTGCAGCCAGAAAAGCGATCATTAGAAGATAGTGTTGCCAGAGTTTTCAAGACAAAGGCTCAATCTATTATTCAAGAGTACTTCTTATCTGGAGATATCTCAGAGGTAATTAGTTGTGTACAGTCTGAGAATAATACTTGTTCATCTGAGCTGAATGCTATCTTTGTTAAAAGATTGATTACTCTAGCAATGGATCGGAAGAACAGAGAGAAGGAAATGGCATCCGTCTTACTGCCATCGCTGTGTTTTCCAGCTGATGATGTTGTAAATGGGTTTGTAATGTTGATTGAATCTGCAGATGACACAGCTCTGGATAATCCAGTAGTTGTTGAAGATCTTGCAATGTTTCTTGCTAGATCTGTGGTGGACGAAGTCCTAGCCCCACAGAACTTGGAAGAGATTGGAAGTCAGTGCTTGGCACCAGAGTCGATTGGAAGCAAGGTTCTTAAAATGGCTAAGTCATTGTTAAAGGCTCGGCTTTCTGGGGAGCGGATATTAAGGTGTTGGGGTGGTGGTGGCAGAATCGGATGGGCAATTGAGGATGTGAAGGACAAGATTGGGAAGTTGCTAGAAGAATTTGAGTCTGGAGGGGATGTTAGAGAAGCTTGCCGCTGCATGAAGGAGTTAGGCATGCCATTTTTCAACCACGAGGTTGTCAAAAAAGCTCTAGTGACGATTATGGAAAAGAAGAATGAGAGACTTTGGATTTTGCTGGAGGAATGTTTTGGCTCTGGACTCATTACAACGAACCAAATGGCAAAGGGGTTTGGGAGAGTTGCAGAGTCTCTCGATGATTTGGCTTTGGATGTTCCTGATGCTCAGAAACAATTTACTCATTACATTGAACGAGCAAAGAATGCAGGGTGGCTGGATTCCTCATTTTGTTTCAGCAAATCAGGACACAGGTACAGAGAATGGCACTGGCTAATTTAGTTAGCTATTTTCTTAATCATACATACGAGCTTTATACACAAAAATATGCATGCAAACAAACATATTGTAAACATCTAGTTACATTTTCCTTGTTCATCATCTTCTTTAGCTACTTTCTGCTCTGTTTTTTTTTTTTTTCTGGCTTATTAATCAATTCACAGCTGGTAGATTTTGCTTTGGATGAATAAGAAATTATATTTCAATGTAATCGCAGAATAAGCAGACAGACCTGCACACAATTCTCTACACAATAAACATTGCAGAAACTCAATAACAAGTTGATTACCGATTACTAGCTGATAAACCCCTCACAAGATTCCTATTCTCAGCACTGTACTTTACGTTGGGAAGAACTGTAGCATGGATTGATAATTCTATTTCTTGCTTGACAAGTAAACTGAATAAATCGATCTTTCGTGAGGCTTAACTCTTGTTAATTTTGCTTTTTATATTTCTCAGTTCAGTCCAACAGTGAACAACAATGCATTCCAAGACTCGCATTAGGCAGAGAATCTGTGATTCCTATTTCATCAAAACTATAGATACTCATCTTGGCTCCCAATTCACACCAATATAGAAGTCTTAATTTTGCACAAAACAATATGCTTCTTGTATTCCAACCAGACGCAGATAAATTGACCAAAAAATATCAGGTGGGAGTGACAAATGTTCTGGTTACAATTTGTTACTGTAAAAATATGACTTCTCATACTAATTCTGTCAAATGTAAAATCATAATATTTTTAATAATATATCAAATGAATCTCTCACATACTATGATATCATGCATAAACGGATGAAAGATTTGAGAGTATGGATACAAGCTTTAAACGAATGGCATTTAATGAAAATGTTATATGTTAGCAAGCTAATGACATTGTATAAAGACGACCATTTTCATTAGATGTCAATTCTTCACTCCAACCTCCTAGTGTATTAGTTAAAGTCCTACTGATTGCAAGAACTTCTGCTTTTCACTGAGCTTTTACCCAATTTCTTCGTATATTTCATCCATTTATGCCTGATCTCAAGATAATCTTGATAAGTTTTTAAAGCTTGAGAAAAAAATATATTGTGTAATGTCTAGCAATTCAATTAGGAAGTTGATCAACAATTTAAAGACAAGTACTGTTTTTAACTATGGTGAACACCGTGTTTTAAGCCTAGCGATAGAGGTTTTTGATTATTTGCAGTATTTTGGGGATAGTAATGACATGTCTATGTTGATCACCGATGTTGATTCATGTCCACCATGTTTATGGTATGCTACATAATTCAAAGAACCTAATGGTCAACGTTATACAACACATGAGGAGGTCAATATTTCTAAGCATGTGGTAAATGGTTTCCATTTGCAAACCGCATTTTGGAAGATATGAAGAGGCTGGAAAGTTCAGTTTGAGAGAGACATTTGTTCCATGCCAAATCTTCCTTTTAGATGGAGCATTGTCTGACCCTTAGTCGGGACGTGTATTGTTGATTCGGCACCTCACCTCAAACGGGATTCATGTCTTGAAACATACACCCTTGACTTATATTGTTTACATTTTGACTCGATGGCACCTAGTTTGTAGGAATGTTGCGTCTTTTTCATCTATCTTATGTTGGTCTCAGCACAGATCATTAAGAATTGAGATGAGTAAGTGTTTTGATTGTTTAATTTTGTTGTATTGTTATGTGCAAAAGTTATGACCAAGATCTTAAGGAATTAAACTTTTATTTTATTTTATTTTGTGGCAAGGGCATGTGAAAGAGTGAACTATGAGCTAGGTCAACCTCTTACTGAGTTGCGTGGGGCTTCTACACTCAAAGAGTCATATTTAAAACAAACAAAAAATTGCTTAAGGGTGTCTTGTGTAGGAATAAAGTGTTTTGTGGCAAAAGGTCAGCTCGTTCAACGAAGTAAAACTTAATTCAATTTTCACTGCAATTTATTTCCAATATAAGCACAACCCAGTAATCAACATCATCAATTAACATGAATTGAATCAAGATTAATTGAAACTATAATTTATAGAGGAGAAGAATTGCAACGAAGTAAACTCAACATACATATTTTAACGTCAACAATTGAATGAATTCAAGACTCAATTAACTAGCTCTGATACCACATTTAAATCATATAGATATGAATTCTATCTCACCTAATTGAGTATTTGAATCACATTCCTATCATAAAACAAACATAATATATATAGAGCATGTAAACAATACTAACTTGATGAAACCATGATTGAAGAATCAAAATGATATTCTCTTCTCTATATTCCAATATGTTCAAGGCTTCGATAGGACAAGCATACAATATACGAGCAGAGAATGTGAGAGATTCGTTTCATATGATTTGAATGGCTATAATTTGTTCCTTTTTTTTTTTTTTCTCTAGTTTATAAACTATTATTTGAATGGCTATAATTTGTTCCTAAACCCTAAATGCTAAACTAAACTCGGGATTCATGTCGTCAAACATACACCATTGAATTGTATTTGTTTGCATTTTTGACTCGATGGCAACTGGTTTACATGAATGTTGTGTCTTTCTCATCTATCTTATGTTGGTCTGAGTAGAAACCATAAGTATTTGCGCTAAGTAAGTGTTTTGACTGTTTAATTTTATTGTATTCCTGTGTAGATCTTTAAGAATTAAACCTTCTTTTTTTTTTTTTTTTTGTGGTAGGGCTTATTGGAGCTAACCAGTCTCTTATTGAGTTGCATAGGGGTTTCTATCCCCAAAAAGTCATATTTAAAACAACAACAACAAAATTGCTTCATTAGCTTCATGGAAGCAAAAATTGTGTCAATTTTCCCAGTTTTTGCACGGTCAGTTAAAGGATTAAAATGTTTTGTGGCAAGAGGTCAATTCTTTTATATATTTATATATTTAGACCAACTAAGTAAAACTTGATTCAAATTTTACTACAAGTTATTTTCAATATAAACATAACCCAGTAATCAACATCATCGATTAACTATTAACTAATTGAGGGAAAAATTGACTAAAATAAAATTTTGGAGTAAAAATTGATGTGCCATACAAATTCATAGGATAAATAAGCGAAAACCTCGAATAGCCAAGGAATTTTGTGCCAAATAACTTAATATAAATAGTTAAACTTTTCCCTCCAACCCTAACACTTTGATTTCTTCTAGCCACGGTCAACATCTTCTCTCCCTCTCTTTCCCACATTTTCTCTTTCCCTTCTTTCTTTCTCTGTCCAGAAAAACACTATATTATCTTTAAAGTTAGCTTGCCTCTTGCTCTCTTTCTTTCACTATCACAACATGTTATCAACATTAGAGTTCCTTGCCCCTTGGTCTCTTTCTTTTACTATCACATCATGTTATTAGCATTAATTCTACAGAAACAAAATTTTCCTGCTGATAACGTGTTGTGAAAGTAAAGCTTAAAAGAAAATAAAATAACACTATTTGTAACACATAATTTTTATCTATTGCAATACATGTATGTAGATCAAAATATGTTATTGTTACCGCAATATATACTTCTTTTATTTGTTAAAGTTTCTCATGCATTTGTGTTTCTTTTACAGAATAATTAGTATCTGGTCCCTAAGTGATTATTGATTTGAAAATTTTGACTGAAGTCATTTGATTTTATGTCTATGTCAAATTTTTAAGAAATCAAATTCCATGTTAGATTTTACTTTTCTATTAAAAAAAATCATTTATTTTTTTTCTCATATGTCATCGATTCTGTTTAGGATAATTAATTATTTGCATAATTTAAGGGATTTTATTGCAGCTAGATATCCTTAACATCTATTTCATTCTAATAGTTTCATCTCATTTTTCATTTGAATGAATTTAAATCATTTTTACCAGAATCATCGGGGTACGTTATATTTTCTAGAACGCATATGGGTACTCTTTTTTTTTTTTTTTTCATCTAAATGGGTACATTCTTTTGATATTTATAACTACAAACAATTGTACTCATCTAATTATACGGGTAAATTTTTTTATAATTTTTTTTAAGGATACGTACATATTTAAACATTTTTCTTTTGGAAGGATGTTGAATTGTACCATAATTATACATGGTAAATGTATGAGTACATTCTCTTAACAAGTAACTGTTATTCTATCATCCAAATCAATGTAATGGGTACAATTACAATTGCTTTTTATGAGTTTAGAATGTACCCATTTGAGTTGAATGCAATTTTCGGTCTCATGGATAAATTTCCATGCAAAATGTACCCATATATATTTTTATAGATTTTGCAATTTTGTTTTGAATCTGTATATATGACCGCTTGATTATTGGTATATTAATGTTTTGTTGGTTTAAAATTTGAGAAATGCTAGCTACCTTCTCCACTTGTTTTTTTTTTTACTTGTCTTTCCCACTCAATGGCTGCCGGTTGGACTTATCTTACACCTAAATCTATGTATTAATTGTGTTTAAAACTTCTTTCTCCTCTTTCCACTAATGCCCCTAATTAGAATTTGATATATCAACTAATCGTTAAATTATCCACCAAATTTGACATATTTAATATTATTTTTTAATACATGTTTTATTTTTTGGACTTTTTTTATTTCTTTTTGTTTTCCTTCTATTTGTAGGCTCTTTCTGGCTTTTAATTATTAATATTTAAAATAAATAAAAAAAAAAGAACCTTATGTTGCACATTTGGAAAAACATTTGCTTATGAGTTTAGAATAGTAGCATTGTTGTTGTTGTTGTATGATGTTCTTCACAAGGCACACATTTCGCGTATGATCACAATGTTGGAAGTATGCCTACAAACCACTCATTTGATGTAATAGCTTTTGGAATACTTATTGTGTTAAACTATTATATGTTTAATGAAGGGCAAAGCTTATTGTTAATCACTATTTATTGTATTATGTGTTTAAGCAATAAGAGAATCCAAGGAATGTATTTAAACCAAGAGAGAAGTGATCTAAGTAAGTTAGATTAACTAGACCTTTCTCTTATGTTCATTCCTAAAACGTTCTTGGCCATAAGATTGTCAATTGGGCATTGACAGTCCGCTAAGTTTAGTATGTGTTATGTTAACTCAAGCGTTAGTTTGACTAGTCTCAAGTCATTTAGTATTGGACAGAGACAAACACATAGGTGCTCAAAAAGGTAATCGAGAACACTGAACTACAATCAAAAGAGAGTTCGAACATACTTGTCATGTTAGAACTTGTGAGTTGCAATATGCAAAGTAGTCCTTTGACCTGAGACATCATAGATGTCTAATGGTTAGGTCCTTGATCTTTGATCATGTTAAAGGCATTCCATCAAGAGTGTCCACGACA